TGCTTAACCTGTTGTGTATTACGGCCTTTCACTGCTGCGGAATGGCCTGCCAAGGATTATCCAACCGAAAGCCCCGGAAACCGATACATCAGGCCTGTTGTCTCCCCGTCCGCCAGCCATTTCCTTTGCCAATAAATTTTCACTTAACTATGTCGATCATCGCACAACGAGACGCGACCGCCGCATGAATACGAGTATGCAACATGCAACATTCAACATTCATGTGCAGCAACCCAAAAATACCACCCCTTTTCACCCCATCATCAACAACCCGGTGGTGGGTGGAACTGGGCGGGTTTTGTGTGTGACACAATTTTCCAGTTTGCCAGTTACGCCTCGTAAGTTTAATTGACGGAAGCGCGTTAAAATTGCAGAGCCAAACCAAAACTGAAAACAACAACAAAAAATGTAAAATAAAAAAACAGGGAAAAACTCTGTATATCAAAAAAAATGTCTGGGGAAAATGAAAACAGAGTGAAAATTTGTGTATGCATTATGCATTTGCATATGCCAGTCGCCGCCAGAGTTTCCCATACGTAATTGATGTCCACATTAAAGAGTTTAATGCAGGATTAAGTCTCCCGTTGATCCAATCAAGTTTCGAAATAAGGAAGGTTTGCGTTGATATAATACATTTTCGATTTTCATCTTGTGTCCCCAGGCAGGCTTTGCCTTAAACAGACTTTGGCTGGGACTAGTTTTGTATTAGGTACGTTGGTTAATTAGTGTTTAATCGTTAATTAGTGTCTGTATTTTTTGATTTTCAAGCTGTACAATTTAAGGAAAAGTTGCTCGACTTTAAATTTGGTTTTCTTTTACTGTCAGGCAGTGGGTTTTGACAGTTTCCTAAATTCCATATAAATACCTATATCTTTAGAGTTAATAAACTCGCCTTTGCTGGGGCAATCGGTCAATAAAGCATGTACTGATTTTTATTAAATAAAAAACTGGTATTTAGAAACTAACATTGTTTCTTTTCTGTGTAAAATTCACTTAAAAATAAGGCATGAAATGAAGACATTTAAGAAACTAACATTCTTTCTTCTCTATGTTAAATTCACTCAATAAATAAGGCAGAAAAGGAAGAAATTTATTTGAAAATTTAAGCTTAATGAACTTCCCTTCTCAGCATCCTGTTGCCTTTATAAAATTGCAACCTCAATAAATACAAAAGCCTTTAAGTAATTTTCTAATAAATATGATTTTCAATATTACTTTTACAAACTCACCAGCAGTTGCCATTCCAGCTGCCCCCAAAATCAATTGTTAAGATTTAAGGATAAACTTTAAGCATTTCTCGTTGGCTTTTAGAGAACTATTTGCTTTGCTGACTTCATCAAAAGCGACCTTGCCACAAGCCAACATACTTATAGACGTATTTGTGCAAGTGGCCATAAATCTGCTTCTAACCGAAAGCCAATATATATGGTATGGTATGTATGTAAGTGCGAGTGTGGCAAAAAGTTGTACTTTGCCACAAACATGGATTTGCGTTTAACGGGGCACGCAGGTGTCGTTGTCGTTGTCGTTGTCGTTGTTACTGTTATTGCGTATTGAAAAGCCACAACACAACACACAAGATTCTCGTCTCCAACTCAGACTTGGACTTTTGTATGCAGCACGTTTTATGGCCGCGGGGACTGGCCTGCCGAGGGGTTGCATTAATTTATGGCCATCAAAAGCGAGTTAGACGATTGACCATTTCTGCTTCGAAGGCTCAGTTCGCCTTAGAAGTTTGCTGAACTTGGCAGAAATGTCTCCTGGCCTCCTGGAGACATTTTGGTGTCGCAGCAGGGCGTCCTCTACGCCCTCAAATGACTCATGATCGCATACACATGACTGCAATTGACCCAAATAAGGGGAGGCTATTTGTGATTTCCTCGATTGTGGAGTGTTTTCCAAGCCTGGGGTTACGCATTTTCCTGTAACTCTGAATCTAACTTATTAAACTTAATGGGGAGTTTGCCTTGTCTATTTATGTTAGGAATTCTGCAGGGTTTGGTATGGAAAATGGTGTATTTGTGATTTAAAACCCCACTTTTTCCATAAACCCAGCTTTAATATGGTATGACTCAGCTTTTCTCAACAGTTAACAATTTTTCCATTGATCATCTTTCTGTGTGTGTGTGTGTGTGGTGTGTGGCATCCTCCTGTTAACTTCCGTGGAAATATCAAGGCATATTTCCTGCAGAGCCGGAGTCTGACTGCAAATTGATTGACGTTTTATTAATGCGAATGCGAAATGCAGTTCATAAATGCAAAATTGAGCTGCAAACAATGCCGTTTAATTGGAAAATGCGCATAATAAAGGCAATTAAACGGATCACTTCCCCTGACACCCCCCCGACCAAGAGTTTTCCAAGTAAGTAAAACGGTGGACAATGTTTTTTTTTTTTCTTTATGATTTTTCTTTTGTTTTCTCTTTTGGTTTGCTTGGTTTTTGTTTTTTTTTTGTTTTTCGTTTTTGTATAATTCAGATTACATTTTATTGTTAAGAATGAATTGAATTATTTGTTTTCTGTTGTTGTTTTTTCCCCCGATTTCGGCATCTTTAACTACAATTTCCTCAGTTTTGCAGCGGCTTGAAGGGTTTACTTTTCCGGCTTTTCTCATAGATGCTTTCCTTGTTCTGGTTTCTGTGTGTTTTGCTGAATCATAATAATCGTAATAATGCAGTATGACATATATATATATAATCTGTTTCATATAATTGCATGTATATGCCTGAAGATTATATATCTAATTCGATTTACCTAAAAACAATTTACAAATATATAAAAACGAATTCACCTAGTAAACTAAAGCTACATCTTGTGTTTGTGTTGGGTGTAGTTTTTCTCTGTGTGTGATGATAGTTTATAAAAAAATGATTTCCTTTCGCTTGGTATATATATATATATCTTTGATTCCTGTTCGAAAGCTGATGTATGTATTTCTGTGTGTGTTTTTGTTGCTCTTTTTTGCAGATTGTGCAATCAACATTCGTGTGCCAACTCTCCCCCATTTGTTTACAAATAATATATGGGTTTATCTGTTGATTTCAGTTTTATTTATGTTTCGTGCTTGGGCATTAAAAAACTGAATAGTACTGCTTGAAATTAAACATAGCTCCTTCAAAAATATAAATAACACAAAGCATAGCCAGGTTACTCATACGCCGTGGTGTACGCCCAGGGGGAAAGTGGCAAATGTTGATGCAAAGTGTGTAAAGTACAGTGGTAATTGGTCATAGGAAAAGCAAGAGCTTCTTGTTGATTTAATTTTAAATTGTTAAAAATGGAAAAATAACTTAACTACTTAAAAATTGAATTTTAAATTAGAAATATAAAGTTTATCAACTTTTTAAGAACTTTTCTGAGCTAAGGATCAGTCTATTCTAGCCAATCTCCACTGTATTCAGATATTGCTTATTTGTTTGTGAACCCAAAAAGAGAATCTGTGTGTGTGTGAAAGCTCCTTTTTGCAATTGATCATTTGTAAGTATGATTGCCAGCTTACTTTTTAGCTGCAACTTTTGTGTTTTGAGTGTCTGTAAATGGGTGTGTGTGTGTGAGGTGTGTGTGCAACAGTCGGCCTAAAGCTACTTAATCATATATATAATATATATATAATTTGCCTTCTTTTCATATATAAGTTTTTGTATGTATAATTAATTTTTTACCTTCTTCGGTTTTTGTTTTTCTTTCAGATTCAGAGTTCCTTTTTATTTTCAGTTTATATCTTCTGTTCATTTTATTTCGATTTCTGTTCATCTTTACGGGGGAGTTTTGTTTTCTGTTCTCTGTTTTTTCTTGTTTTTGTTTTATATATAAATGTAAATATCGTAACATAATAATTATGCCGTATATATATGCTAAATTTAAATTTAAATTTACTCATTTTACACCTTGTCGAGTTTGCGATTTCCTTTTTTTTTCTGTTATTATTTAAAAAATTTAACCGTTTCTCTCACTAAAAACTTAGCATAAAAATTTAACAATACATATATATCATTTATAGATACAGTTATGTTCTTGTTGTTGTTGTTGTTATCCTTGGCTCAAACCAACTTAACTTTCCATTTTTTGTTATAGATTAACTTTGTGTCTTCCGTTTATTTAATTCATTTCTTTATTATGGATAATTTTTAACAAAGTTTCTGTTTCGTTTGTTTTTCTGGGGATATTCTTTTGTTTTTGAGTTTGAAAGCTGCTCCCTTGCTTTGTATAAATTAAAACTAGTTTTGTATTCTCTATATTGTATATATGGTTTTGTATATATATAAAGTACTTTAGGTTTCCTTTTCCTTTTTTCATTTTCTTTTGTTTATATTTTTAAGGCCAAAAATGTCAAACTTAATGTATGTCCAAATCGATCGATTACAGTGTAATAAGGATATTTTCAATTGAGATATTGTTGTCCTCGTCCCAGTTCTATGTAAGCTAGTGTAAATATTTCTTGCACGGATTCAGGTAAGGGGGTATTTGTTTTTTTTTTATAACTTTTGTTTGCAAAATAATGTTGTTGTTTTATTTGTGGAATTTGCAAAATGTAATTTATTTTTGTTGTTTAGTTTTAATTGTATACATTTTATTTATATTTAATGTTAATTAATAATTATGCCTGCCTGCTGAAATGGTTTTTGTTTTTGTTTTCTTGACCAAAAAATCATTTTGATTTATTAAGCTTTTAAATTTAGTAAAAAATGTTCTTTTGTGGGGTAAGCAAAGAGGAGGAGAGAGGGCGGGGAGGAGGGTATTTAAGACACACCAATTATCACCTACTATCCAATGTGTTTGTTTGTTTTTTTACTCGTTTACTCTAAGTTTTAACTAATTTATGTAATGTTAGCATGTGTGAATGCGCGTGTATGTGTGTGTATGCGTGTGCTTGTGTGTGTGTAACGTCTTTGTATAGTCAGTCAGTTATATAAATGTATATATTTAAATGTATCAACCAAAAAAGTTGCCGTTTTTCCTTAGCATTGTCTTTATTTTTTGAAGATTTTCTTGCATATTTTCTTTGTTTTTAATCAATTATTAGTTTTTTTTTAAGATTTCTGCTTGGTTAAATGAGGGGGGAGGATTGGGGGGGTGGTGGGTGATTGTGGGAGGGCGGCTTGCTGTCGGTTTCGGTCCGTCAGTCTGTTTTGGTTTTAAATTTTTTGTTTTCATTAAGTTGTAATCTTAGAAACAATAAAAGTTTTCTTGTAATTATGCATAGGATTTCATATCAAAAATGTTTTTTGTTTTTTGTGTTTTATTTCTTTCTTTATTTTCTTGTTTTTTTTTTACTAAACCTTGGAACCGGATTGGGATTTGTCTATCATGCTTTAATATATAGAGCCCTAGATATACGTGTGTGTTTATGTACGTAATTAATTATTGTTTATATATATATTTTGTTTTATATATATAATAAGAAACTAATAAAGAATTGTTTTTAAACAAAAATATTGCATACTTTTATGTGCTTGCTTGAAATTTCCATCTTCTCGCTCACTTTTTAACTTCTATTTCATCCTCAACTCTATCTTTATCTCTATCTTCATCTTCATTCTTCGTTTTATATTTAGCTTTACTTAATCTTGCTGTTTTACTTTATGTAAAATGTAAAAACGTAACGGTAAATTGTAAATATATATTGTAATTGCATTAATCAATATAATTATAAGAACACATTTTCCGAGATATTCGATTTTGTTGTTGTTGTTTACAAAGAAATAATTGTTTTGTTGTTAAAAAACCGATATATATATAAGACATAGTGATACATACATCTTTTGTATATAAAATACACAATATACTTTAGTTACAACACAAGGCAAAGACAACCTAGGCGGGATCGGAATCGGAATTGGGATCGGTATCGGGTTTTATGGAAACAGAGAACTAACCAAAGGGGTAAATGGATTTAGGACTTCATTCAGATTCTAGATCTTTGTATATCTGGGCATTAGGGGGTTTTGCTTTTAAGTACTTAGTCTGGGGATATAGTTACTCATCTGCTCGGGACCTGGATATGAGAAGTCAAAGGTTACGTATCGTACATATACATAGTATAACTTCGTAAATCAGAGTTTGATGCCCTTTGCTCGAAATGCAATCGGTTTCTGTTTCGGTTTCGGTTTCGGTTTCTCTACGAAGCAAAAAAGTCTTAACTGAGTTAACAATATTTTTGAAATATTTTCCCATCCCTTTTCTAGCTCATATATATCTATATATATATATATACGTGTATATATAAGAGTTCTGTGTTTTTTGTTTTTTTTTTTAAGTGAGTCCTTGGCGAGGATCACATCCTTGGTTGTATGCTAGCTTAAATCATGATAAAGTTCTTGTATCCGCGCAGTGATTGCACTGAAATAATTATTGTTGCCGCCGCCGTATCCTTTGCCATTCTTAATCCCTCAGTCCTCGAGCAGCTGCTGCTGCTGTGGCTGCTGTGGCTGCTGCGGGGGTCCAGCGGTTGATGCCACCAGCGGCAGGGCACATCCCGTGGCAGCCGCATCCTCGGCAACCTCATCCGCGGTCGTCTCCAGGAACGGTTGCTGTTGCTGCTCTTGTTATGTCAGATCCTGCTGCGAATCTATCGAGAACAGCTCCTTGTACAGTGCCGGAAATACGACGTTTGGATGCTGTTGCTTAAACTTGCTCAGCGCCTCCATGTGCAAGATGGAAATGTCGCTGGAAAAGGTTAAGAAAATTGGATTAGTTTGTGAAGAAAATAATACAATTTAAGTTTTCTTTATCCTTTAGACATACCGGAAATTGGGTATATTATTCAGCAGTGTGTCCAGCACAGTGACATCGCCCTTGAGCGGCGCATGATTCGTTTCCAGCTCTTGCCGAATCGCATTCATGCTCAGATTGAAAAGCCTCTGTATTTCCGTATTTCCACGCACTCCATTGCGTTCTAAAAGAGAAGATATATCAGTTAATACATACCATCTAAAGAGAATATATTAAAGCCTAGTTATACCTGGCCAGAGCAGCACTAAGCTCTGATACAGCGCCAGTTCGGTTTCAGTCAGTTTGAGTTCGGCTATCGACTTGGCCGTTTGGAAGATGCGCGACACCAGGCGCATCTCCTCCGAGTCGGATGTGTAGAACGCCTCCTGGGGCAGCATTACATCGCCATAGAGTACCGCGTTCTGGGAGAGATCTAGCAGTCTGGACATGCGAACAATCGCCAGCTCAAAGGAGCCCGTCTTTAGCAGTAATATCTAAATGAAAACTTTGATTACTAATCTAAATCAATATGGTTTTGTATCCACTCACCTGATCATCCTGACTCAGCCGCATGAATCCCGGTATTAGCTTAGCAAATTCGATTATGTTCTGTATCATTTGGGTAAGCTTCTCGGCGCAGTCCAGCCAGAGTTCCTCCTGGCCCAGATTCTTGTAGTAGAGAATGCGCGATACATCCTTTACAGGAGGCAAAAATCAATATACACTCGTTAGCCAAGGCATACTTTTGGGCATTCCCAAATAACACTTACCGGCTGCTTTCGGAACATGTCGTGCACAGCTTCCAGTTTGGTATTTGTGTTGGCATGCGCCTCCGCCAGGGTCTTGATCAGCACATCGTTGATATCGCCATCCGCTGAAGTAGCAAATCATTAGGATTAAAAGATACACTTGTATCTTAGAGATATATCTTACCGTGACTAATAAATTCGGGATCGATTATTGTACTGCGCGGCTCGTAGGTGGTGCTGTCCACATAGTCCGCCGAAATGTCGTACTGCATGGTCTGCTGGGGCGTCACGGAGGCCGAGTAGCCGTAGGGACTGCCGTAGCCCACCTCGTTGCTCGAATAGCCGCCGCTGTAGCTGAGTGACAAGAAGGGCATTACGGGTCGGGGAGCGGTGGATGTACGGATGTGGCGGAAAGAAAAGAGCAGACAAAGAGGGGGGAGATAAAGAACGTGGACACCAGGAGGGAGACCAGGCACAGGGACATTCAGATAAAGGGGTCATTGAGATCACGGATACATCAATATGGAGGATCATTCTCATATCGGTCATACTGCACCTGTTGTAGTTGTTGTGATGCAGCTGATCGCTGCTCGAGGGCGTCTGTGTATCGTACACGGAGCTATCGGGTGCCGCATCGCTCTGAGCCCTCATCTGGGCTCGATGGAAGCGCACCTCGTCCTCGACCTTCTCGCGTTGCTTCTTGGACATCCTGCCGAACTTTACAGCTGCACGGGGGGTATGAAAAGGGCGGTTAAATGGGTGCGATTAATGCAAGGTCACGGAAATAGTTATTATTATTTAGTTTAGAGTAAAGGTAAGAAATTAAATTATATGAAAATATTAAGATTAAATGGGAAAAACTATGTAAAATAAGGTAAGGTAGATCTAATTAATTCATAAAAAATTGAATTTCCTTTCCAGACTCAGACTTGCTACAGACCATCACGACTCATTCCCAATTTTAGGCACTTTTGCAGTCTACAGTATTGACAGCGGTTGCGATTAACGCGATCCACCACGCATTGCTTGTTCCGAGGACACTGGTAGTTCACCACGGAGCTCTGCGAGCGCCGGAAGAAGCCCTTACAGCCCTCGCAGGTGATAACGCCGTAGTGCACGCCCGATGACTTGTCGCCGCAGACTTTGCATGGAATTATCTCGATTTGAGCTGTAACAAAAAGAGGGGAAAGAGTGGATTTAAATATAATTTAAATATAATTTTTAATTCAAATAAAAGTTCCTTAAATACTATAATAAATATTCTATTTAATTATATTCATAGATATTCAAGTCTTATAATACAACCCTCTATCAATCTTTAGCATAAAACCCAAGGATTACTTCTTCTTTTGTTAAAAACATTCTCCCCAAAAACAGTTTTCCGGAGTCTTTTTTAAATTTTCTCATCATGCAAACGCCCAACAATTACAATCAATGGATTTTCCGCTGACAGCCCCTTCCCCTTGTGTCTGGTTTCCAGTGACTCAGACAATGCCACTTCGACCCCGGAGAACTATTGCGCAATATTGCAGTGCATTATCCATGCGGCACAATGCACCGTCCACGCGGTACCTTAAGCCACTTGTCTGCCGCACAATAAGAATGCCCCGCCGGTGGTGGTGGTGGCAAGCGAAGGGAGCGAAGGGAGAGTGGCATGGGAGAGATAGTGCGACAGCTGTTCGGGCTTCCCTTGCCGCAATCGCAATCCTTTCAGCGGCGAATATGATGCAATTTCCTGATCAGCAGCAGCAGCAGCAGCAGCAATGTGTGGTGCACCATCGCTGAGAACTGGTTCACACAGAGAGAATCACAGTGTGCTGCAATTTACACTAGTTAGCATGAGAGTGCCACAAAATTAAACATTCTGGAATTATTTTTTTTACTATTTAAATGTAGTTTCCTATTTGCATTTATAAAAATTTAATTATCTATTTATATACTATTAACCTCTTCAAGCATACTTAATTTAATTTTTAATAATACATTTTTTATTTATTAGATTTTTAATAAAAATTTGCTTATCTATTTATCATACAAATATTAATTTCAGTTTAGTTTGCAATTAAAGGTTTTATTAACAGATTTTTTTGCCAAAGGTGTTACATAAATATTTTATATTGTTTTTTAATAATATTAATAATTAATATTAAAGAGAAACCAGTAACGCCCCCTGGTTCTAAGGAAAGTTCCTGTATTAATATATTTTTATTAAAATTATTTATATTAGGTTACTATTTTTATATTTAATAATTAAAATTTTTCTCCTAATAAAAAAATATATTAAAAATTTATAAATATAATTTTCCTCGATATTTTTATACCCTTGCGGGGTATTATAATTTCAGTCAGAAGTTTGCAACGCAGTGAAGGAGACGTTTCCGACCCTATAAAGTATATATATTCTTGATCAGCATCAACAGGGGAATCTTTCTAGATATGTCAGGAAGAAATCAATTTTTTTGCCATTTTTGCATAATTTTATAAGGGGTTACATCATTAAAATTTTGGATTTTGATCAAAAATTGAATTTTCAAAATTTTGAAATGAAGTATGCAGATTTATTAACTGTAGAAAATCTTGCACAGAACAGTTTTCCGATTTAAAATTAATGCTCTTTTGGCCGAGTTATGATATTTTTAAGTTAAAAAAAAAAATCAAGAAGTTTTTTAATATAAAAAATCCGATTTTATAATACAAAATAATATTTTTCCAAGTCAAGGAATCATTTCCGACCCCACAAACCATATATATTCTTGATCAGCATTAACATGCGAATCTTTCTAGACATGTCCGGAAGAAATCGATTTTTTGGCCATTTTTGCGAAATTTGATAAGGGGTTACATCATTAAAATTTGCAAAAATGGCCATAAATTTTGATTTCTTAAAATTTTAAGTTTGGTATGCAGTTTTTTTAAATTAATAAAAATTAACACAAAACTGCTTTCCGAATCGAAATTAATGCATTTTTGGCTTAGTTATGATATATTTTAATTGTTACCTGCAAGGGTAACAAACTTTGGCTGGCCAAAGTTAGCTTTCTTTCTTGTTATATTTAATATTAAAAATTTTTCTCCTAATAAAAAAATATATTTAAAATTTATTAATATAATTTTCCTAGATATTTTTTGACTAGATTTTATAGATAATGGTGTTAATATTTAAAAAAATATTAATTGACACACCAAAGCGGAGAAAATAATGTAAATTAAAGCTTGAAAAACAAAGTTTGTAGCCCAGTGTTGGACTTAAAAGCCAGCGTGAGAGAGCGAGAAAAAGGAGAGAGCAGGCAGATTGGTCTCGTCTGGCGGCGGCGGTATTGTGTAATCTAGGCGCTTTGCTGTTGCTTTGCGTATTTACCCACGAGGATGAAAGATGCGCGCTGAACCGAACGCACACAAACACAGACGCAAACTCAGACGCCGCAGCATCCAGCGGCAGCAGCGACGCCGGCAGCGCGGCTAGCACTCAGCGGCAGCGACGCCGACAGAACACAATCAAAACACAACAAACAGCACAGCTTGAAAAATGTGCCAAGCTGCCGCCGCCGAGCCGCTGCTGCTGCGCCGCCGTTCGCCGTTCGGATCGCATTGGAGAAATGTGTGACAGATGATGAGTGAGTGAGTGAGTAAGCGGGGCGACGCTCTGTGTGAGTGAGTGACTGAAATGAAATGTTTTTCAAGTGTCAATGAACTTTCTCAACACGGCAGTATCTCACAGATACAGATACCGCTACATACACACACACACACTCACCAGCATGTCCGTAAACATTCTCGGCGAGCGAAGGAAAAGAAAACAAAAACAAAATCGAAAAGAAAGTTCTCTCGCGCCCCACTCTCTTTATGGGTTTTCTCTTAGGCCCCAAAAAGAGTGCTGCTAAGCAAAGCTCTCTCTTTCGTTGCAACTGACAGACAGATATTTAATTATGGCAGAATGTGTGTCGTCATCACTGGGCTATGCGGGCGACTAAAGGGGGGTGGGGCTTTGGACGGGGGGGACAATCCTTACTTAAACCGCTTTAAACTTTTATCATTCTTGGGCATTACGAAATACTCGAAATACTGGCACGCAAAATGCAGTAAATGCCGACTCTTTTCCCGAAAGAAGAGCTAACATAAATCTTTATCTGAAGAATGCGTGTGTGCGTGTTTATGAGTCTTCAAGACAGATAAGACGACTATTGCACTGAAGAGCGGGCCAGAGGTGAGAGTAAGAGAGGGGGCGAACATACATATCGTTATATCAAGTCAAAGCCTCAAAAGTTTACAGGCAGTTTGTAGCTCATTTTGTATGCAGTTCAGGAAATCGATAAGTCAACCGATAACATTTACATGTGTCGCTTTAAAGGCAATTTACATAAGCGAAAAGTAACTAAGTAAATATATTTTTAAAGTTAAATTTTACCTAGGAAAGACTCTACTTAATTTTCCTTTATATGCTGTTAAGAATTTGTTAGTTTTATTTTATTTATATTTTTAAGACCTTTAAAAGAAATTATTTAAGGCATTAAACTTTTAAAAATTTTGTAAAATTGAATGAATTTTGAATTACTTATGATATCATTTATATTAGCTTTGTCGGGAAATCCACAGAATATTTATTCTTTACATAAATTCCTGTTCAAAATAAATTTCATTTATTTCCTACGGATTTTCCTGCTCTGTAAACTATCTTAGAACTTTTAATTTCTAATTTTACCTTTTTTAAGAACCTACAAAACTCTGTCCCAAAAAAAAAAAATTACAAGACAACAGGTTACCTTAAGGCAATTAACTTTTAATCTACGCACATATTCCCCGATATTTGGGTTAACAAATAGCAGGCTCAAATATTTACTTAATACGCGGCGCGGAAAAGTGTGTCATGAAATACATTTTATTGTCTTATTTGGCATTTTTAGCGATGTGTACTTTAACGGCGAGAAAACAAAATTTATGACATACTTTTCTCGAAATGAACGCAAATATTGGGTGAAATTGTTTGCTTATCAGAGGCAAAAAACGGCACGAATTCATCGCTGAATTTTTTTATGGTCTTAACGGAGTACGTACAAATAAGTAATGAAATGCATCATTCCAGTTTTTAATAAATTTTTAATTAACCAGTGCTGTTTTTTATTGATATGCAGCAGTCCTGCCTTTGCTCAATGAAAACGCATCCATTGAGTTATGTTAGGTAATTCCACATCAACGCTGCACTTGTATCACGTACACGCACCGTTGCCGGGCAGAAACAAGTTACGGAAAATCAACTAAAGAAGCGAAAAGAGTGAGGAAAACCTGCATTTTATTGTTGGCTACGCCTATGCGATATAAAAACAAATTAAATGCTGTCCGAAAACCGCTTAATAAAATAAATTCTGAATGACCAAAATGGCAGCGGGAAAACGCTGAAATATTTTTGCATATGCAATTTATTTGCACAGGCCCCACGGGCTTTCTTTTTTCCACTGCCTTTGCTGCTTTTGCTGGGTGCAGCAATAACCAGAAGTCAAAATTAATATGTTCTTCTTTATGGCGAATGCATGCTAGCAAAAAAATAAAAAGAAATGCAGTTTGCGGCGGCAAAAAGGAAAACCGAGTAAAAAAGCACTGCCACATATGCATGTGTGTGCACTCGCTTAAAAAAAATTAATATGCAACGACATGTGCTAACGAAAAAATAAAAAAAAAAACACAAAAAACATAAAAAGTATCAAAAACCCGGGAGACTGGGCGAGACGTAAAGCTGTCAGCTGGGTGGCCGCAGGAGAGGGACGCCCAGGGACGGGCTGCATATGAATTGCAGTTTTTGGCACTGCGGCGAACGGCAAAGTCAAATAAAATAACAATAACAACGCCAGAAACTATAGCAATAATATAAGAGAGAAAAAAAAACGTAAGCACACACATAACACCTCACGAGCACAGTGTGACAGAGTCGAGAAAACACTGTGGTAACAGAAGATAAAAAGAGAACAATATAAGATGTTATTTTCTAGATTAAAAAAAAAAAATAAATAATAATAATAATAATACAAAATTTCAGCATTGTATTTATTATAATAAATAAAATATAAATAATATTAGTAGAGAGATCCATTAGATTGATACTTTTATTGGGATTAAGTAAAAAAACCCTTAAAATGTAGAGAAAGATCTATAATATTTATGCCTTATATAGTATTT